GCTGCCCCTCAGCCTGCCTCCCATTTACCTCCCAAAATATCAGAGTAGTTCTGCTGCACATAAATGCTCAGCATGAAACATTTACCAACTCTGTGCCAGCTTTCACTGCAAACTATCAAGGGCAGAAATTGTCTCTCAGCACTTGTGCCTAGTATCATATAGGTCGCTGCCGCTTCTGGGAAGCCCTTGCTGGTGGGGCTCTGTAAACAGCAATACCTGTTTTACAGGGTAACGTCCCGTTTTCATTCTTGATAAATCACTGCGCTAGTTCGGATATGCTTTTGTATGGATCACTTCTGCTCGGAACTGCCGCTGTTTGCCCGATGCGAGGAGAACTGGTTTCCATGGAGCATTGTTTTTCCTTTGCGTTGCTGATGACAAATGGGAACCAGGGAACAACCTGCAGTGACAGATGACAGCCTTGCTATCCCCAAAAGACTTGCAGGGTCAAATGTCGTTCTAAATGTTGAGCGGGACACCACACATCTGGAAACCAGAACAATCTGGTAGGTACCACCACACCTGCCTAACCAACCCCTTCTTCTACGCCTAGACCCATACAGTGAGAGCTCTGAGGGGGTTTCTTGCTGCTTCTCTGTTGCTGGGAAGCCAGGAGCTGGTAGATTTTGCAGTCAAGGCACGTGGTGCAGAGGGCAGCAGGAGTGCTTAGCTGTCCCCTGCTGAATACAGAAGGGAAACAGCTGACATCACGCTTTGTTCAGAACACAGTAAAGATGACATTGCAGCAGATGATAAATATTAACGGCAGCTTTGACAGATTAAGGATGCCACCTAATAACAGCGCTAGATATAGATACATAGGTCCAAGTTTTTAAGAGTCCGTACTCATAGTCAGGAGGCAAAGAACTCGCTTTCCTGAAATACTGGTGTCTTTGTGAGATCCCTAGTTGGGAAATTGAAATCATCAGTCAGTCTGTAAACCTACAGGTCCAGTATCACATTTTAACGGGCTTTTTATAAGGTAACGTCAAAATCATTCACAAAGAAAAGTTAGAGGAGGTAGTGCTCTTGAAATCTAAAATAAAAAACCAATGAACCGAAACCTTCCTTACCTCACGAACACCTGGGGTAAACTTCACAGTGACCTCCTTAAGCTCCTATGGAAACTACATCGGCTCGCATTTTTCTCTTCAGGTTCTATTTTCAAGTACTCTCGTCTCCAGTGGACAGCGCAGGGGCAACGGGAAGGTGCATTTCGAAGGGGGTTGTAATTAGCGTCATCCCATTTGCCAGATTACCTCAGGGGTCAAAGACTTTTGGTGTCAGTAGCACCGCGCCACGCAAATGACCTCTTTAAACTGCCATTTGGGCACGGGTCACAGGAGGAGGCGGCAGCAGGAGCGGGGCCTTTTCATAGAAACAGCCGCCCTGGAGCGGCGCACTCGCCTGTATTTTAGATCCGTTGCTGTATTTTTTCCTTCACACCACGAACTTCTTTGCCAAGGCCCTCTCGAGGAGCCCGTGTG